TCGCACGCCTCCCCCAGCCGCTGCCTCCCTTTGCTCCCCGCTAGCTATTTTCAGAGATAAGTTCAGTTAAGCCGCAGTATCAGCGCAGCCACGCCGCCGGGGTCGCACCGCGGTTATCGCTCGCGCTGGGGAGCAGGCTTGGTGTGGGCTCGCTGCACTCTAGGCTATCGCCCAGCCCGAGCGCTCCCTCCCGAAGCGCTTTATTCTCGGTGTCGCAACGCGCTATCACCGCAAAGGCTGCTTCGGTCGGCTCGGCGAGGCCTTCTGCGAAGGAACACGCGGGGACAGGGTCTCCTTGCCGAGGGCACTGCGCTGGACCTTGCAGGCACAGTGTGTCACAGACCTTCAGTACTAACTGAATGACACTTTGTTTTGTTTTGTTTTCCCAATGAAGAAAAGCAGTGAATTATGAAATTGGCACTGAAGCATCATCGGATGGCATTTGCCACATCCAAAACCAGGCGCAGAGCCGGCGCGGGCTGCGAACGTGGCGCTCTGCCCGGGGGGCCAAGGACCCTGCAGCAAGCACTCACCTGCAATTAAGTCGATGTGGGGGAAAGAGGCCTTCAAATGAGCTTCCAAAAGATCAATCAAAGCCCTGAAAGCTGCAGGGTCCTTCAGCAAGGGGCTGATATCGCTGCAAACAGAGGGACAGGCGTCAGCTGCCTCCTGGGGCTGCTCTGGCTCCAAGGCGCAACCATGACGGAGAGCTCCCAAACCTGCAAGTGCTGCCCCGGCCAGAGCCCGCCCAGCGCTGCCAGGGGCGGGCGAGAGCTGCACGGGGTGAGGGAGGCAGCTCACAGCTGCCCAGAAAGGGACGGAGCCAGCACAGCCCCTGCCTCTGCCCCAGCTCCGTCCTGCCCCAACACCAGCCTCACTGCAACCCTTGCACCAGCCCAATGCATCTCCTCCCCAAACGTACCCCAGCTCACATGCATCCCCTAACGTAGTCCAAACTACCCACAGTCCCAGCCCAAATCCACCTCCAAACAAAATGCACCTCCTTCCCAAAGGCACACCCCCCCGCCCACATGCACCCTCTGCTCCAGCCCCAAGGCACCTCCTACCTAAAGGCAACCCCAGCCCCAATGCACCCCCCTGCCCACATGCACCTTCTGCTCCAGCCCCGATGCACCCCCCTGCCCTCATGCACCCTCTGCTCCAGCCCCAATGCACCCCCCTGCCCACATGCACCCTCTACCGCGGCCCCAATGCACCCCCA